TAGTGATCTTGGGCAAAATTAGTTAATTCCGGCCCTGCCGATCATGATTCCGATGTATTCCGACCCGGAATTTTGGGAATCCCCCTGTATGAGTTTATGATATAGGCTTTCTCAACTAGAGATGGTGATCGATCAAATTTTTTTTTGATTTTCATATGGGCTAGGTGCTACAGAAAAGAGGGAAATAAAAAAAGATCTTCTAAAAATCTATTTTTATGTTATAAATTTTATAATATACTGCAAACTTTTATTAATAAAACTACTTTTTGCGTTTTAAGTAAAAAATGATCCTAAATTAATTTATATAAAAAAATCAATTTTAAAAAATTTATCAATTTCCTCCTTTTCTGTAGCCATATGATCGATCGTCCGTGTTCGGTCATGCTCTGCCTTTTTTTACTTATCTTTAAAATAGAAATAGTGTTCTGAATTAAATTTAATGATTAATACATTCAATTATTGTCATAAATCTTTTTTTTTTACAAAAATATAACCATCATTTATAATACTGTACGGTAGAAGGCTATTCACAGACTACTACTCCATATAAGTATACTTCACTTAGAGACAGTTTAAATAAATTGTCTATGTCATTGAAGTCACAATGCTAGGTGAGTTTATTATTGGTTAATAATAATATGATATAAACCTATCGGCTCGCAGCTCCACGGTCAGCTCCAAAGCTTTGAGCCGAGCCATTTTTAGAGCCAATGCTTTATTAGTATGCCTGGAGCTGAGCCGTTAACCGGTTCGGCTCGGCTCGAGCCGTTCGCATCACTAGACATCATATATTAAACAGAACGGAAAACAATTTTATTATAATTTAACGTGTTGTCTAAAAAAAAAAAAGATCCTTACTAATATACAAGAATATTTATGTTAAAAAATAGCCGCCTTTTTTTTTTTATATATATATAAAGAAAAAAAAAATATACTGTATATAGTCCTTAGAGAGTTGTTAGGGTGTATAATAAAATCTTGCAATATTAGCTAAATATTAGCTAAATATATAATGCAAAGAAAAAAAAAAGGATATAACAAAAATATAAATCGACTTCTATATATTGTAATTAATATAAGTGTACAAATATATATTTCATTTTCAATTTGTTTCACTAGCAATATTTCTTGACTTAACATTCATGTATAAGTCATTAATATTATTATTATTAATAACATTTGGATCAGATATCTCAAGTAATTGATCTACAGCTCGGTCAATTCTCCATTCGTTATTTTGTAATACAAGTTCACAAATATCAGGTTCCATATTAGGAAACATGGATCGAAGTTGTGAAAGTGAATATTGAAATTCTGCTTCAGAAAGTTTAGCAACTTCAGCCTGTACATCCGAATTATCGTTAGAATCGTGGGTAAAATTTGAAGAGGAAATATGCTGAGAAGTATCACTATCCGATAATCGTCTTGGAGAAGTATTTATGGAATCAATGTGTGAAGACTTATGAGGGGAAGTACTTAGCGACGACGACTCTGAAGCTGAATTAACATCTGACAAAGAGTTATTAACGTGACGAGTTGATAGCTGTTCATTCATCTCATTGAAGTCATTACTAATTTCGGAAAATATTCTTCCAACTATGTTCAACGGTTTTTGTATTGTCTTCTGAGCCAAAATACTCCCTTTTTCAAAAAGAGCTTTAGCTTGTGCAGGATTCAAAATTGGAGTTCTAACATGTAAAGGGTTTTTTGATGGATGCATCACATTATCATAACTAATTTCTCTATTATTTTCTTGCAATTTTGGACGTTCACGATCAATTTCTTTTACAGTTGCTTCAATATTTCTATAGGAAAAAGATATAGTTTGAATCCAGTTTAAATATTCAGTTTAGAATTAAATTAAACAAGTAATAATTTTTATATTGTAGATAGACCTACGCTTCGAAATCTTCTTGTGTTATAGAAAGAGAGGTAGCATCCATATTCTCAATAAATGAAATAGCACCCATCTAAGAGATTATAAATTAATTGTTAATATGAACAAGAAAAAATTAGATAATTACCAAGTAATAGACATACCAAACTTGAAAGATAATAACCGGCTTCAGATTGTAATTTTTCAGGATTTCGAAAGCGATAAATATACCTGAATAAACAAAATATAATAAGTTAATCTAGGTTATTAAAACGAAAGAAAAAATTAGTTACTTACTGGACATTAGATACTAAATTATCAGGGTTGGCTTTCAACACAACAAATATAAGGATAGGAAGAAATTTGTCGGCACTTTCCTCCCCATCTACGTGCCTTATGAGGCCTATGTAAAGGTATTGTGTAAATGATTCATTAAAAAGACAAAACTGAACCCTACTTTAACTCACAATAAATATCCATGTCAATTACTAACCAAAAATGACTTTACAACAATTAAGGATGCAAATAAGTTTATCGCGTGGTGCCTTGAAATAATTTATTTTTAATAATTCTAATATATGTATATAGATATATAAAGAATTTAAAATGAGGAAAAGGAACATGGTAAATGGGAATGAAATAGGGAAATACCATTCTTTGCGAATTCAAAATATTGTTCATTATGATCAGCTCGAGTTATATCTAAATGTTCTTCTTTTACCCATCGAAATATTTGAATTTTTTGATGTAAAATTTCGTCACGTTCTCTATCGTCAGTTGTAACAGGACCTTTGATGGCAGGGGAAAAAGTTCTATGATAAAAAAGAAAACTCAATAATAATCAAAAAAAAATATATTCAAATAATATAAAATAGTACCTACAATTTATACAATCGATTCATAACCAATTTTTCCATACCCTCTTTAGCATTTTCGAATTCGGCATCGGATGCATTACGCCATAATTCACAGTCGCGCATTTTTAAAGATATAAACTGAACACAAGTATACAAGTAAATATAAGTGATATTTAAGACATAACAAAGAAATTTACAAATGTACAAAGTATAAGCGAACATACTTCTAAAAAATCATGTATGATTCTGATTTGATCGTTGGCAGGCCAAGGCTTTTTTTCAAATTCCCGTTCAAAACTAGTATAATTTTTTTATAAAAAAAAAAATCATAAATGAAATATTGAAAAGAACAAGTAACCAGAATAAAAATATGTACTTTTTGACGTAACGTGCAATATTTGTTGCACTTGGATTAGCCATTTGTTGAAGGAACCGATTAAAATCAAACTGTAAGTCCTGTTGGGGAGAAGGCTTTCTTTCTAAATTGTGTTGCTTTACAACACCTTCAACAGTACTTCCAGTTCCAGTAGTTATTTCTCGTGCAGTGTAACTCTTACTTTTTCGATTACTGTAGGGATCATCAGCTATCGAATCTAATAAATATGAAAAGGTAATTTTTACACTGATTCTAAATAATACAATAATAATAATAATAATAAAAATACAAATAAAGTTTCAATATCTACCGTCATTATTTTCCAATATAGTATATGGTTGGCATTCTTCCTTTTCTGTTTTAACAGTTTCAACGGTAGATATTGTGTCGACTGAAGGATTAGTTAATTCCATTCTGAATAGTGAGAAAGTTTATCAGACAATGCCAATTTTGTATGATATTTAATTCGTTGTCAGTTCACGCATTTGTTGATCCATTAGTGCTCTTTATAATTTATACACGTTTAATAAGTGTGGTACGTTGGTGAAACTTTACTCGCGTATAAGAGCATAATCATGTGCTTGAAGTGTATATTTATTCTTAGATCAATGTACTAACGTTAAGTTTCGATTTGTACAATGTAATTTACATGCATGACGACAAAATAAAAAAAACCAATCATTTTAATGGCACGTGATGAGTAATTTCGTATATATCACATGATTTAGTACTTTAAAAATATATTTATGTATATATTTTATGTATTGATATACCGATATTAAAAAAAATTAAACGTTGATAAAATCAAAAAATACAAAAAATCAAAAAATAATAGTAATAGAGGAATAATAGTTTTTCAATTCATTTTATATTATTAGAAGAGAAGAAATTTGCATTAATAAATAAAGATATGCATTATACGTACGTATACATATCGATATAGCAATAGAGGATAAGAGTGGGACCAAATTGGTATATATACGATATTTCTATATATCGATATAACCTTAACTCATTCACAATCCATAAATATGACGCGCCTCAAAACCAAGCCTACTCTAAGCATCGATCAAACCTGAAACTTAAATCTCACCATCTTGTTTTAATGTATGTTAAAATTCGGAAGCTTTTTCTTTACATACCTTATTTCAAAAATTATTTCTAAGTTAATGCATTACATTCTCGAAGCTCGAAATAATGTTTGTAAGTTGGGTCCTCAAAAGTATTTTGAAATATATAAATAAAGTTACCAGGCAATTGATTGATTTGCATCTAAAAGTTTAACTTGCGTCAGACAAAAAATTGATTGAAGTCGTCAGATCAGTTTATAATATGTATTGATAAAATAATATAAATAAGTCCACTTTAATATATCGTAAGTCTGGCACCAATAAAAAATATTTATCAATCAGGAAAAAATTATTTGATACTGAATAACTACACTAATTATAAAACTTCTACACAGAAGCATTGGCCGATCAGTGTGAAGAATATCTCTTAAAGAAGCACAGAATACAGATATCCTTACAGAAACAATGAAGTACCAATAAATGCCGATGCAAAAATCTGGTAAATCTTGTATTGGATGTGTAAGTAAATACCAAAGTGTATCATAGATTTACTATTTTTGTATTTTCTGCTTCAAATTATTTGTAAATTACCATTGAATTTGATACTAGTTAAAGTGATCTTACTCGTTTCAAATTTCTGTCCAACGAACTCAACTTTCAAACCTACTTACAGATGTAACACGTACTATAGTATCATAGCAGGTTATATATAAAAGGTTATATATAGTAGGCGATTTTACATCTATTTACTCGACAGCCCAATTAATTAGCAAAATTTGCTTACGTACAAATTTCTGTGTTAAAAAAGATTTGGGTTAGCATTTCGTTATAATGATTATATATTTATTTTGATTGCTATTCAAACAAAAAGACCCGGTGATAACCTTTTAAAAATATAGTGAAATTTTTTTCATCCATCACAAAATGTTTATATAGATGTTGGAATATGTCACTAATAAAAAATTTTTGTAAGCTACGAAACTTTAAAACTCATGTATCCTATGTACTGTACAGTACGTATGTATTTACGTGCTATATCAATGTTCTGAACGATCAGAATGACTCGAGACTGGACCATTATAATATATATATCATGATCTATGCATACGTATAATAAATTTTATCATAATGAGTCAGTTTCGGTCAACCCTAATGTCGATATTATCAAACTTTGATCGAATAATCATAACTTATCCCATTAACTGGTTAATTTTAAGAATGCAAAAATATGCAGTGTCGCTTTATTGTGCAGGTTGTTTGAGAAATCTAATCATTTTTTGGACACTTTGGACTTTCATTATTTATTATTTACCTGATTCAGCCTGATCAGCGAACATATATGACTCGTAATTAAATTATAAGCCCAATGTAGGATTTCTTTTAGCGTCACTTTTAGAGTTACTTTTAGCGTGCTTTTAACGTTAGCGGCATTCGTATACTGTGCCTCGCCGATCAAAGTTTTTAGGGCTAAGTTCGGTAATAATAAGCTTGAATTTCTAAACTGCTTACATATTTACAATTACACAAAGGCATTTAACGCAATGTTAAAAGAAATCTACCAGAAATTCAAGTAATTTATGAAAGTTTAAGAACTTGTTGCTAGAATTAATAAGAGTTATATAGAAAGTACGTTGATGATTTAAATTACTTTCGAATTTTTGATGCACACTTTATTCTAATGTGTTTTATTTTTTAATGTTCGCTAGATTGCCTTAGTTAGCTTTGTTTTTTTGTTAAATCTGATAGCAAGCTATATAAACTAAAGTAAGTTAAGAATTTATTTTTTTTGGTGATCTCTTTGGTCTTTTGACTTTTATTAATGATTTTTTTGGTAATGTGATTCTATAAACCACTACAGGAAGAGTATACAATTGGTTATTACCTATTTAAGGAGTCTGCCCAAAGGTTCCTCACCAATTGTTATACCTAACACCTCTACTTGGGTGTTCCATTTTAAACCCTCTGAACCTACATCTGTATTAACATTACTGGGTCATGTTCAGATTATCATCTCAGCCTTAGGATTATTTTATCTTTGAGATAAACTTTTCAAAACCTTTTGTATTCATTTTTACAATTGACCTAGTATTGTTATAACAAAATTAATACTTGTAATCAAGATTAGTTATTAAATCATTATATTTTGTAGAGTTCATTTAGACTTCAGCATTTACTTCATAACATATACAAATTATTTTAGTATACTCTTATTTGTTCTTCAAACTTCTAATCCAGATAGTTTAATAAAACTATGATCAATCTATTAGTATATCAAATTGGTCTAATATTTTTTCTTTCAGTTCATTTTGGCAATCTGGTTGGTAATATCTTTAAGACTTTCAATTCAAAAGTTCTTGTCTATTTAGATATTTCAATATTGATATCTGTTTTTTAAGATTAATCTTTATAGTAGTATCATCAAAAATCTGTACTATTTCTCTACTTAGGTCTTTTTAAATGAACTTCTTGTTTTCTAATTTTAATGAATTTATATAGTTACAAGAACTTATCTAGAGTTTGTACTACTTGATGTTGGTTGCATTCTTCTATGTAATGTTATATTTATATAAATATTATATAATTTGTCAGTTATATTAATGTGACTATCATTATAGATATTATTATAGGTGAAAGTCTTCTTAAATTTTACACTATAACAACAATATGGCACAGAGAATCCCTTACAGATATATGTAATGTTCAAAAGGGAAATATAGCTTCTGTTAGACATTGTCAAGAAACTATACTCTTCTCTGAGACAGTTCGGAAAAGGTAATGCAATACTAATAACTTTACTTTATTTCACTAAGAGGAGATAAACCTTGCCTGTAAGAATTACCCTAAAGGAGGAGTATCAATACAGTTTATAGTCAAAAGCCATTTATTAAAGTAATAACAAGAAGAGTTATCCTTAGATTTCTGTTCCTAAAGAATTCCAAGATGTATTTACAATATTAAAGAAAAGAGGAGTGTCTGTTGCTTAATCGCACTTGGGGAATTTAGCAGGGTTTATATATCTGTGAGCTAAGTGGCTAAGCGGCCAAGC